GGTGAACGAAACACGGTGAAGATGGAAATTTGCAATGTCAGTATCAACATCAAAACTGTTGCAATGTCTTGAACTGAGCATATTGTAGACATGGTAAATTATAGTTTGGACAATATGCTTGTGTTGCAATTCATTATCAGCCATATGTACTCCAGATATCGTTTTGATTTATCATGTAGTACATACATGGACTTATTTCAAATATCAAGAAGGTATATCGCATTTGACTGCAGAGGTTAATGTGTATAAAACTGTACTTTTAGTTCGCAAATAAAAGTCTCATAGAGTAACCTATTTAGCAAATTCATCCCAGTTATAGAATGTGATTGATTCAAACCATTGGAACAACACCATTTACCATTACCTTGTCTAAAACATGTGTTTTGAAAAGTGTTGCATAATGACTTATATGGTCCAAAAAGTTGACTTTAAGCAGAAATTAGTCCATCTAACTATGATGATTACAATTTGCATGGGGCCGCATTCACTATGTCGGAGTAAACACAATTTATACAAGTTTTAGAAACTGCCCAGATAACGTTTTCATCATATGTTAGAAGACGTTATGTTCCCTACTCTGAACGACATATGCTGAAGAATTATTAAATAAGGCAGACTTTGCAACGCATTCTCTACAGACAATACAATATGCAGATGAATTGCTGTTCTTAAATATGTCATATTATAGAAATTCGTTTTTGTCACTTGGCAAATCATGCTTTTTAATTTGTCGCCATGAAATCGAGCCAAGTCTTCACAGTAATGCTAGGGCAGTTTCTTTCACGTCTACGACGATCGCAAAATGAGAGGGTTGTTCCGCGTCAGAGAAGAGGATGCACAAGGAGACAGCAAGAAAATGTTCAAGTTACTCTGATTCTAGTGATTCGAATGGAAAATTCTGCGTCAAGTACTAGGTTGATGCTCCAGTCAATAACCCCCTTATTTGGCATTTAAGTGTTTGATCATAGATAGCCAAAACTATAGCACATAGTCTAGTAGTAATCGGCGTCAGATTGTGAAACAAAAGAAATTCGGACCTTATTTAACAACTCAACTGAAACGATTGTAGTACAAAGTTGTGAGATATTAAACTACACGAATAATATGCATGTACCATTTAAGCAACAATTTAGTATTAAATACAAACATGTTGAAAGCAAGTAGTAAAGATTGCACGAAAAGAATTCATTATTTGATGTTTACCAGTAGAAAGCCATGTAAGCCTTCTTGTGCCGTTGATTAAAAACAAAACCTTTTTTTTACCAATAAATCAACTTTATAGGTAATAAACATGTATGACGTTTCAATCAATTTGAATAAACAATTAATATGCGCTTGTTCAAACTAAGGTAAATATATAGGAATATGCTAAAACAGTTGTAGTGCCTATTATGCACAGAATACCATGAAAAAACAGATAGTGTTTAAAGTATAGTTGATCTATCTAGCTGATTTATCATTGGGCACTGACTGACACAGCTCCGATGGACGTTTCAGTTCATTTCCTACCTCAGTTACGGAATTGATCAAACAGCCATATAAAATATGTAGACGTAGTTCAATTCATCACCAATACACCATCATCGTTACATTGTTGCAACTTAGAAAAAGGATAGTTACAGCATTCTAGGTGGGGTACTGACATTCAATGTATCGAAGCATCAATACATCTGAATAAATTTAATTTAATTGATGACTATGAATGTCAAAATTAAAATAAAGTTTTGCTATTGTATTTCTGCGATTATTGTTGGCTTTGGCCTTCCCATTGAGTCTGTGGTACACTCTGCCAGGGTAGGAAGAACCCCTTGTTGGTGTTCAGCCTAAGGTAAAACTTACCGATCATGAGTCTTATGCTACACCCACTATGTTACCAGCCACCGAAATGCAACAGCTATATACAATTTACCTAGCTCCAGCCGACATTGAAACAACATATCCAATAACTCCCGGGAATACAGTCGTTATTATTTACAGTTACATTGGACACATATGGCACTAGTATTGATATGTTATGCTGTGTTATATGCCTATAATATATATGTTATATACATACTCAGTGGCATGTACTCTCTACCAGGACATACATTTGTATCACATGATAGACTACGCTCAAACCTACTTGGTTTGGTTTATATTTTTATGCACATGCTTCGGGAGCATACAGATTTACTGGCTGACCAATTGAGAACAACAGGATGAAGTGTACATATGGCTGGTATCTTGTGTAAGAAATCGACAAGAGATAAAGGCTCCAAGTAAAATCTGTAAAACGTACCAGCTTGAAGAATAATGTTCTCGACAAATTCTGAACAGGCCACGGGGCAACCGTTAATTATTCATAAATGGAGTCAATGTGTTTAATTTTCTTGATTTATTCAGCAGATATCGGTAAAATATGGGTAAGACTTTGGCGAAATTAGAAAGAGCAACTAATATTCTTCAACCTGGTATTTTTTATAGATTTTATTTTTTTTCGGCCAGTTTAAAATATTTGAGTGCGCTGGAGCCTTCATCCCTTGTCTATTTCTTACACTAGATACCAGCCGATACCCCCACTCGCACATTTTCTACAGTGGTACAAACACCACAAAACTGCCATGACACTCGACCAATTGAACCTACAATGTTGACCATTTCAAAACAGTCAGTCTATCCGCAACATAATTGATCGCAGGAGATACAACGACATTAAGGTTTATTTGAATGATTTTTAATGATTGCCGAAGATTATTCGTCTAGTCTTGCTACTAATGCCCACAAATTAGGTTTTCATTTAGCAAAAAAAAAGTTTTGGGATAAAAAGCTTTTCTGCCTGGTAATTGCGGTTGACACTATTAAGCTGCATTTGCAGCTGTAAACACTGAATTAATTTGAATTTCTTGTCAATAAAAATCGAGCAAGCTGCTTCTTGCTAGAGTCTCTTGCCGGTGAATTGTGTATTTAGCATTATAAAACGACCTTTACAATTTACGACCACCTTCCCACAAAATTCTGTTTTCTGACGATTTAGTACTAGATATTAGTTTTTGGTTGAATTATCTCACTTACTTCATTGCACTATTTACCTGTACACTGACATCCCGTAACACACCTTTTTTTCTCGTAACAAACCTTGACTCATTTCACAGTCATAAGTCTGATGCTGTTTTCGCATGCAAATGCTACAATTGAGTACTTTCAAGTGTCCCCCATCAAAACTACGTATGATTTAACGACGGTGTTCCTCTAAGTGCTTTGGTTCTTCGGTGATAATTGTAGTACATGTATTTTAGTGTTTTCCAAAATTTGCATATTCATTTTGAGAACACTATCAGTTTGTAGTTAGTTAGCAGTACATACTGAACTACTCCCCCTGGACCCAAGACACTTGTTTCATTGTGTGTTGTCTTTCCATATTCCCTCATACAGCGTCCACACCAGTTGTACACGGGTTTAAATAGTCTGGAAAAACATAACATCCATACCCCAATGACCTCCCACTGACGTTTGTAGAGTACGAAAGGCATTATCACGTGTGATGCGTGTACAAAGTAAAACATGAAACAATGTACCATGAGTGTAGATAACTTCCATACCTCCGTAAACGTCTGTAAACACGTGAAAAGCGAGGCCATGTGGTCCTGTCGTATTAACATTTATCATTAACATATATATAATAATAATTTTATTATAGATAATGTAAATTTGCTTTGTAGGACATAAATGAGCAAAATTGGGCATAACCTTAATGAAAATTGTATTTTATAATTCAAATACAAATGCAAAAATCAATTTACATGGTAGAAATTATTGTAGACCGAAAATACGTTCGTGCTAACTATGTGTCTTCAATATTTAATGTTCTAACTTTGTTCTAATTCTAATCAAATTAAAAATAATACTATGAGGTTATTACGAGGATACCTCAAAGTATGCACGAAGATAGTGAAGTATCGACCGATGCGTGTGTGTGGAGTCCGGTCAAACCCTGATGGCAGCCATGTTTGTTTTTATTATTAGAGGACGCTTACGTCCATTGTATGTACTGTTGCCATTGATGACAAACTCTTACCATCGAATTATATAGTCAGTAAAATAGCATAATTACCTTGATCAGACACATTAAAATAATTACTTATAATGTATTTATTTACAATTCGAGTTTATATTTGTACTAGAATTATTGTATGGTACAACTGAAGGTGAAACTCTTCGTCTTCTGGCTGAACCATATACTTTAAACCGTCTTGTACAAT